GAAATTGGAGATTGCCTTTTCCATCTCGTTGAAGAATGGGGTTGGTGGAGAAAAATCTTTAAAAAAATGCATGTTCCTTCAGTGAAACACATTCCTGTTATTTAGACTTTATGGTCTTGATGATAGCATATGATCAAGGGAGCACTGGTGATGTTGTCCATGGCAAGTTGTGTTGTTATCTCAAAGGCCATGTGTCCTTGGCAGTTTGAATCCAGTACAGGCTCCATGGGAGAAAGATGAACAGCAGTCTGTTGTTGTGATTTATGGACTTGTAAACCTGATAGAGAAGTGCTGTGAGCTGGAGCTCACGTGATGACAGCGAGTGAGTGCAGATAAGTATATCTTGCCTATTTTCCATTTCTTTGTTGATCTTCCACTTCCTTTTCCTATCCATTACTGAAAGTTAGGTATTAAAGTCTCCAACTACGGTTGTGAATTTTATTTCTCTCTTTTACTCAGTTATAGTTTCATAAATGTTTGAAGTCAGTAGACATTCGTTGAGAAGAATTCCAAGAACACTGAATTGTGCCCATGAAATATTTGTATCTAGACCAAGAAGCTGTTGTGTAAATAAAGCAAAGTTTTAAAATTTTAAAAAGTATGTGTTAGGATTGTACCCTTTCCCCGTACTTTTCCAATTCAAACTGTATACTGAGAAAATTGTTCAGGAAGTTGGACTATATGAAGAATGTGGCATCAGGATAGGAGGATGATTCATCACTCATCTGTGTTACACAGATGACACAATCTTGCTCGCTGAAAGTGAAGAGAACCCAAAATGCTTGCTACTGTTGTTGTTGTGTGCCCTTGAGTCAGAACTGACCCGTAGCTGACCTTCCAGTGGGTTTTCAGAGGCAGTTACTATCATGAGATGAGATTACCCATCTTTCTCCTGTGGAGCAACTGGTGGCTTGGAACTGTGTGCCTTTTACAGAGAAACTTCTCACCGATAGGCTACAAAAGCTCCATGTATCACTTGCTACAGAGGCTAAAAGAACACATCCTTCAATTTTAATTGTACCTCAACATTAAGAAAACAAAAATGTTCACCACTGAATTGATAGGTAACATCATGATAAATGGAGAAAAGATTGAAATGATCTATGACTTCATCTTACTTGGATCCACAATCAACATCCTTGGTATCAGCAGTCAGGAAGGAGATCAAGAGGCATACTGCACTTGGAAAGTCTGCAGTCAGGGATCTGTCCAAATTAAGAAGCAATGATGCCAGGTTGAAGATTAAAGTATGCCTGATCCAGGCCATGGTCTTTTCAATTACTTGCTATGCACCTGAGAGTTGGACAGTGAATAAGGATGACAGAAGAAGAATTGATGCCTTTGAGTGGTGGTGTTAGAGAAAAGTGCTGAATATCCTACGGACTATCTAAAAAACAAACGGATATGTTTTGGAGAAGGTGCATTCAGAGTGCTCTCTGGAGGCAAAAATAATAAAGCTTTTCTTCAAATACTTTGGATATGTTGCTAAGAGATTATATTCCTTAGAGAAGGATATCATGCTTGGAAAGATGAATGGTCTGCAAAAGAAAGGAAGATTCTCAACCAGATTGATTGACACGGTGACTGTGATAATGGGCTTAAACTGTGAGGGTGTCACAGGTCAGGATTGGGTTCAGATTTGTTGTTAATAGCGTTACTATGAGATGTACTCAAGTCAATAGAACCTATCAATAATATCGTCATTCAATAACATTATTGGAAATTATTTTTAAAAGGCTGGAAATATACATTGATAGGGAATTGCCAGAAATTCAAAATGGACTATAAAAGGCCATACAATGAGGAATATCATTGTTGATATGTATCTTAATTGAAAGCAGAGAACAATAGGAATATGTTTGCTTGTGTTTTATTAACTATGCTTGCAAAACTATTGGGTTGTGTAGATAATAACAACTTAAGGGTAACATTATGACAAATGGAAATTCCAGCATACTTCTTTGTGCTTATGAGAAACCTATGCATAGACCAAGAAGCAGTTGTTGAAACAGAACAAGGGGACACTTTGTTTTTTAAAATAAAGAAAAGTGTACATCAGGGTTAAATAATTTCTCCATATCTATTCATTGTGTATGCTGAGAAAGTAATTTAAGAAGCTGTACTATATCAACAAGAATGTGACTTCAAGACTGGGGAAATACTCACCAACAATGTACTTGCTTGCAGAAATGAAAGAAGACTTAAAACAATTATTGAAGATCAAAATTTCAATATGGATTACATTTCAACATCAACAAAATAAAAAATCCTCACCACTGGATTATTAGGAAACATTGTGATGGATGTAGAAAAGATTGAAATTGTCAACAATTTCATTTCACTTGGATCCACAATTGACATTCATGGAAGCAGCAGTCAAGAAAGCAAAAGACTTGTTGTGATGTGAAAAGAAAAAATGTCCAGGACCTTTTTAAAGTGCTGATAATCAAGGTGCACATCATCTAAGTCATGATAGTCATGATATTCTGAACTGGTTCATATGAATTTGAAAGTTAGATAATGAATAAGGAAAT